GCCCCCGCCACGCCGCGAGCTGCCCCCTCGCGGCCTCGTCTCAGTCCCCGCAGCTCTCCACGGCCGCTGCGCAGCCCTGAGGGCGTTCGGGGTTCTCCTTCTCACCTCCGTGTGCTCCCTTCACCACTCACCCGGGAGGCAGGCTGTTGTAGACTTGCTTACCTTATTCTCGGTGCTGCTTTTACAATTGCTCTCTTTTGTTCTGCCTTATAACTCTTTATGCACAAACATCCGCTCCTGAAGTAAATATATGTTCATCTAACGTAGGCTTGTAACACAAGAAAAGCAGCACCAAGCCTAGAGATTCTTTAGGGCAGATCCTTTTGACAGCTAGTCCCCAAATACGGTTGTGAGCCTGTGGTATAGCAACGGCTGCTTGCCCTAATGTGCCAAAGGCCTAGCAACACTGATGTATAAAACTCCATTTTAAACCAGTGTTCTACTTACTGTGCATGAGCATCTGTAACTTTTTTTGACTGACAACTACTGTGCAACAGGCTTTGTGGGGTCTTGCAGATTCTAGTGAGTCACTGCTGTTTGGTTTTCTTGGGGGAGTAGGTTATATTTCAGGGTTGCAAAGTTTTGTCTCAGTTGAATTATGATGCTAGTAAGTAATTTTGTTGTAATAAAGAATGTTGTTTTTCACTGGTGCTCTTCTATGAATATCCTTTCTTACAGTGGCTGTGGTACTTATATTGTAAACTCTTAATTTAGAACTGGGCGTATATCAAGCGTGTGACTGAGAGAGTATCTTAGTATTAAACAGTCAGTATTACTGTTTTAGTCTTGGACTTCTTAGTAGGATCAGATTAAAGTTATGTTTGTACTTGAATCTTTTATTTTTTTTCTGTGTGCTTTAGGTCAGAATATGAAACGTGAGTCTGGAAGAAAAGTCCAGACTGGAAACATCACTGCTGCTAAGGTACCATGTTCTCATGTCAGGCTATTCTGATTCTTTTTATTTTTAGTATGTGTGTGTGTTATATATGTATAGATTTAAGAGGGAAAACTGGATCTGAAGCATGTTTTCTCTAGTCTGTATGAATCCAGAGTCGAAGCAGCATAGAAAATTAATTTTCAGTGTTAAAATAGCAGTTGCAATGTAACTGAACATGGAGGGGTTTAACCCACCAAAACCTCTGTCTCTGCAAAATCTGAAAGTGTGTAAGTTTTGACATCTGATGTAGATAATAATTTAGTGTGGTTCCAGTGCTCTTCTAATCCCTGTGTTCTCATTCCCACACTATTCTTAACTTCTGCTGCATCTAAGCAACTGGAGAGGCATTGGGTCGCTTACGTCTTGCAGTGGCCGCTTGTTTTGTATGGACTGTGTTTTTTTTAGGCTTTTTGATGCCCTCCTATATTGCCCCATTTCTTTTGTTCCTCCTAGACTATTGCTGACATTATTCGAACGTGTTTGGGACCAAGAGCTATGATGAAGGTAAGAACTTTTGCTGCAATACCTGTGGTGCATACTGAGCAGAAACACTACACATATAGGTTGGTGCAAATATTGCTTCTCTTTTGGTTGCAGATGCTCTTGGACCCCATGGGTGGGATTGTGATGACCAATGATGGCAATGCTATTCTTAGAGAAGTAAGTTTCTCCTGAAGGATTGTCTTGCTTAACGTGCGGGTTGGAATCTTCCAGAATACAGTTACATAGCTGCCAATGGAACTATGTTATTTTGTCTTCTATCTTGAGAGCCAGCAAATACTGAACAGCAGTACCAAGAAGGGTGCTTACTGGAGAGGAATTAAATATTTCCAGTAAATGTTCTTCTTCCTCAGAAAAGTAGGTTTGATCCCAGGGTGGTAAGTTTTCATGGAGGTTTTACAAGACTGGGGTAAATTCTATGGTAATTGTTGCTATAATCACTTGCATCAAAACCTTACGAGCAGATGCTTGCTTTTACAATGCCAGATAATTAGACCAAGAAATTGTTGTTGTTTTTCTGGTGCAAGTGCTGTTAAAATAACATCACAAAAATCATAATGCCTGAAAAACTGGAAGACACAATACTGTGAAATACAAGGGCTTATTTTTGGTCTCAAAAAGGAAGAAAAATCTTTGCTGTAGTTGGGCAGGATGCCTTTGATTGTTTCAAAGGTGTGGTATTTGTTCCACTGAGCGATGCAAGAAGTTTCAGCTTTAGTATTCTGGAACAAAAACATACCCCTTGCTCCTGTACAGATTCAAGTCCAGCATCCAGCTGCAAAATCAATGATAGAGATCAGCCGTACTCAAGATGAAGAAGTTGGGGATGGGACCACATCTGTAATTATCCTTGGTAAGGAGAGTGGATAAGACATACTTCTTGTAAAGGGTTAATGCTGAAATTCACCCTTCTTGCTCATCAAAGCCCAGTAAGTGTTCCTTAATGAGACATATATTTGTTATTTACCAACCCTAAAATTGATTTTTTGGGGTTGTTTTTTTTACTGTGGAAGAGAATGCTACGTTCATTAGACCCTTAGGTGATCAGCTCTGTGCTTTGGAAAGTTGTGTTCTTTCCCGGGAGATAAGCACAGTTGGGTATAAAGACAGGTATAGTTGGTGTTTGAGCTCTCTGTGTGGATAGCAGATGCTTTTTGTGTGGTATGCCCTTCTCCTGTCCTGACTCTTGATTGTTCTACTAACTTACCTGTGGAATTTTGATGTTTGGTTTGGGTTTTTTTTAGCCGGAGAGATGCTCTCTGTCGCTGAACACTTCCTTGAACAGCAGATGCACCCAACTGTGATCATTGGGGCTTATCGTAAGGCTCTGGATGACATGATCAGTATTCTAAAGAAAATTGGGTAAGTATGGGCTGGTGGGAGAAAGAAGGAATATGGGGTTTCTGTATGAAAGATGATTCTGCAGGGAATCATGTTAGTAAAATATAACTTAATATAATTGGAGGGGGACTCGATGGGATTATGGATAGATTGTAGTTTGGAGTAGTACTCAGTTTACTGTTTGGTTTTTCCTTTGTGTCAGCACTCCAGTGGACGTGAACAACAAAGAGATGATGCTTAAAATAATAAAGAGTGCTATAAATACCAAGGCAATAAACCGCTGGTCTGACTTGGCCTGTAGCATTGCTCTTGATGCTGTTAAGACTGTGGAGTTTGAAGAAAATGGCAGAAAGGAAATTGATATTAAAAAATATGCAAAAGTAGAAAAGGTGAGTATGTCCTGAACTGTTTTTTCTCTGTGTTTTTTCTCTTTCTCGTTGTGAACTAGTTCATAGGATGCAGTGGGAAGAATCTTGTGTTACTGATGTGCAGTCCACAAACATAACCCTTGAAGATGTTTTAGTCAGCGCTATCAGCCTTGCTGGTTTACAGTGAAAAACGGGGCAGCTTATGTCAACTCTTTCAGAATATTTGTCAAAAAGATCATTTAAGTTGTTTAGGTTTCTGTCTTCCAAACACGTGTTGCCAGGCAATAGGATGTGAGCAGTTTCTCAAGTTCTTCCACGGCTTTTCGCTTATCTAAGCCAGCGTGCTCTTAAAATTAACTCTGATTGTGACGTGGATTCATGATGGTTACTTGGGAGAGTTTTCCTTTTTCAGTATGTGGGGTGGATAGTTTCAGGAGCAGACTGCCTTGCCTCATTTTCCCCCATTCTTGTGTCTGTCAGATTCCAGGTGGTTTTAGTGAAGACTCGTGTGTTTTGCGTGGAATCATGGTGAATAAAGATGTAACTCATCCCAGGATGCGTCGCCTTATTAAGAATCCACGCATTGTCCTTCTGGATTGTTCACTAGAGTACAAGAAAGGAGAGAGCCAGGTAAAGCAAGTCCCGTTAGAGATTTTGATTTAAGACTAGTAAAGTGAACAAATCCAGATAGCTAGTTAAAAGTGTGAGTGGCAAAAGGCTCCCTTCGTGTTCTGCCTTTCAGAGACCTTTTGCACATATAGGCTAATTCTGCTGTGAGGTCAGTACCCTGGAGGAAAAGGTAGAGAAATATAACTGAGGCTACAGTGATTTGTGTATCTAATTGATGGTCAAGAGGCAAAGAAATATGCTGTGTTTTAATTAATGTTAAACTGGCACAGTGTCACGGTTTATTTGATCAGTATTTTTTCACTGTGTAGTTCTACTTAACTCTTCTCCAGGCAATATTGGAGGAGTTAAGATCACGCAAGCCACGGGATCTAACTCAGTGAAGGGTTGGGAGGAATACAGTAAGGTATTTACACCTCTTTCTGTGCAGACTGATATTGAAATAACACGGGAGGAAGACTTTGCCCGCATCCTGCAGATGGAGGAAGAGTACATTCAGCAGATTTGTGAGGATCTGATGAGAGTCAAGCCAGATCTGGTCATCACAGAAAAAGGAATTTCTGGTAATAACACGTGTGATCCTCTTTGTGTTGTATTCATCTTAATAAGGTTCATGCTGGTGTTAAATGCACTGTTCCGTAACTTAAGAAAACAAAAGCAAACAAACAAAAAAAGCCAACAAAACAACAAGATCCCCACAAACCTGATTTTGAACATGACCCTGTGTTTTGGTTGGTTTTTAGCTTTATAACAAATAGTTCTACATTGCAGGCATTGAAGCTGGTTCTTGAGGTCACCTTGTGAACATGGACACTTATAATAATACTTTGCTTTTCCAGCATTTGGAAACAATATCAAAATATAAGTGAGGATGAGTCTCGCAAACCATGGAAAGCTGCACTGTAATTGTACCTTGCAGCTTAGTTTAAGAAGCTACATTTAGGTTTTTCTTTCCATAACCCTTCTTTAAAGACACAAGAAGTTTGTCATGATTCATCAATAAAATTGCACAAACCTGATTTCAGACTTGGCCCAACACTACCTGATGAAAGCCAACATCACTGCGATCCGCAGAGTGAGAAAGACTGACAACAACAGGATTGCCAGGTAAACGCTGTCTCCTCGCTGGAGCCCATTCTTGCTGTCTGTGGCATGGCATTTTCGTTCTTACCTCACCCTTTCCCCCCAGTTCTTACTTGGGAGCATCTAACGTGACTGCTGTTTGTGTGCTAGGGCCTGCGGAGCTCGCATTGTGAGTCGCACGGATGAGCTGCGGGAGGAGGATGTGGGAACTGGAGCCAGGCTCTTTGAAGTTAAAAAAATCGGAGATGAGTATTTTGCCTTCATCACTGATTGCAAAGACCCCAAGGCTTGCACTATCATTCTGCGGGGAGCCAGCAAGGAAATCCTAGCAGTGAGTTATTACCTGTTCTGCTTTTCCTCCTGTCCTGGCCACCTTCTTGGGTGTCAAGAAGTCATTGCTTCCTTTTGAGCAGCTGTTGCGTGCAAATGCAGCAAGCACAAGTTTTCTCTGGGTTCTGGAGCGACATGTAATTCCCATCTTGTGGGCTGTACTGTACAGTGGAGGCAAAACGTGTATACTGCAGAGGAACCGGCCCGGCAGACTGAGGTCTGTGCTTCCAGCTGGTGGAGTGCCACAGTTCCCCGCAACCAGTAATCTGTGCTTTTATGCCTGTTGCAGGAGGTAGAGCGTAACCTTCAGGATGCCATGCAAGTGTGTCGCAATGTCCTCATCGACCCGCAGCTGGTGCCCGGAGGGGGAGCTACCGAAATGGCTGTTTCCCACGCGCTGACAGAGAAGTCCAAGGGCATGACGGGCGTGGAGCAGTGGCCCTACCGTGCAGTAGCCCAGGCTCTGGAAGTCATTCCCCGAACGCTGATCCAGAACTGTGGCGCTAGTACCATCCGTGTGCTGACCTCGCTCAGGGTAAGGCGCGTGGCATGGCATCACCCGAAGAGATCCAGCCCCTTCCTGCTGCGTCCTACCCCTCAGATCAATCATCCCTCTGTAGCAGTGCCCTTGTAGGGGCAGCTTGTCAGGCTGTTCAGAGTGCAGCTTTTTAGTAGTTGCAGTAGGCTTTTACGTTAAAGGAAACCTGTGTTGAAGTAACCGATCTGTTGAAGGTGATTGAAAGGCTGTTATTGCGGTTTTTTGCATTAGCTGGGCTGCAGACATTTTTATTGAAGTTCTGTGACAAATTTGAAAGCATGAAAATGAGACTAAATAGCTTGCTTGAGGTACCAGAGTTTAAAAAAAAAATCAACAAAACTCTGAGGGTGAACAAAATCAAAATCTTCCTTTGAGATTAAACTGGATGGCATGAGTGAGTATCTCCAAGTCTTAACTTCTGATATAATTAAGTGTTTGAAGCGGTGCTCAGTAACATGCTCTCGTATAAAATCCAAACCTGAAAAAATTCTAATGAGCTTTTCCTGTTTTCCTGAGCCCATGGTCAGTTTGAGTTTCCAGAAGGTGAATTTGCTGTCTTACTGTGTCGGTGGTGACCCGTCGTTCTGCTTACAGGCAAAACACACTCAAGAAGGCAGCCAGACGTGGGGAGTGAATGGTGAGACCGGAGCCTTAGCTGATATGAAGGACCTGGGGATCTGGGAGCCTTTAGCGGTCAAATTGCAGACCTACAAAACAGCGGTAGAGGTAAGGAGAGGTGGGGGGAAGACTTACGAGCCTCTCTAGCGTATCAGTTGGGAGACAGGAACATTACTGCTTGTGCACTTGGCTGTTGGGGAAAGCACCGCAAACCGAGCGTGGTGCGTGCCAGCGTTTCGGCTTGCTAACGCCGGAGGTGTGATGACAAAGGATGCAGCACCCGTGGGAGCCTGTACTCGGGCTTTCAGAGGGGTTGATGTTTCATCCTGTGGCTTAAATTTGTCGTGTTCCATCCCACCTTCTTCTGCAAACTGTGCAGACTAGTTTGCAGTCTCACAAGGATGGGCTGCTCCGAGTGACAGCCAGAGCCATGACTGAGGAATTCGGTGCCAGCAACGTGCTGGAATCCAGTTCATGGCCCTGGGAGCTCCTGCCCTTTGGATCACCTGAACGTCCTTGCATAAGCTTCCCTCCCCTTCTTCAGAGGTCACATTTTGATCTAACACCAGCGAGCAAATGCTCAAAGGCAGTTGTTTGAAGGGATGTTGCATCCCTTTCTTGTCTGTCAGCTAGAGGTAATTGGTGCCCCTTCGCCATGGGGTGTCCTGGCCAGGTGCCGGAGCCGCTGGCTGCTCCCACCGGCCTTCGACGGGCACTGGGTCCTTTGTTGCCTCATGCTGTGCTGAGAGAATCATTTAATCAAAGGCAGATGGTTCTTTGGTGTGAAAGCCAGGTAGGTTGGATTTGATTCTTTGTGATGAGCTCCTGACCAGATCGGGGTCGGGGGGGCGTTTCTTCCCAGACTGCAGTTCTCCTCCTCCGTATTGATGACATTGTTTCGGGGCACAAAAAGAAGGGAGATGATCAAAGCAAGCAGCCGGTTGCGCCAGAGGCAGCCCAGGAATAAGAGAGGTCGAGCCACTGCTGGGAAGAGCCGGGCACCTCGCGTTCGACTGTGGGAAGAGCTTGATGAAGCGACTCTGTCCTGAGGCTGAGCTGGGCAAAAGTTTGTCTGAAGTCTGGGGAAAAAAAACCCACGAAGGTGTGGGGAAAGGGCAGATGTATCAGGTAACGGGGTGGAGATAAAGGTGCTTAATTTAAGTCTCTGGACTGTAACTTCTTAGTGTTTGCCTCAAAAATAAACCACGTCCTTTCAGTCTGTTTGCACCTTTAAT